TTATATTTTACGCTTCGCACGCGTGTAATATCGTTACTTTATTATAACATATTATAAATGGCATTTATGCGTCAATTAAAATATAACAAACAACTTTATTACATTTATTAATGTTACGTTATGTGGTTTCTTTTCTCCCTGCGTGTGCAGTAACCGTATAATTTTCCAACATTATGCATAGAGAATCATATCAACGTTAATTGATAATCATTTGACGTAGACGTTCCGCGCTTAATGCGATTTACATAATGCAACGTCTTCGCGTTCGCGATGCCGTCAGCGAGAGTGAGCTCGCGCTTCTTGAGAAGCGTGAGGAAAGCGGAGCTGAAAAATTCCGTAGCCGTGGCACGCGGGCGTTCTCGAAACCGATCTCACCACTCGCCCGCAGGTATACATGGATATATCGTGCTTCCTCGCCGGCGTTAATAGGCCACCGGTAACTTACACCGCTATACGACGGTCGGACGCGCTGTATTTGGTGGGATACAAACCCGGAGAAAAGAGATAAAGAGGGAAAGAGAGACAGAGAGAGAGAGAACATCGGGGTTATAAACGTAGAAACGCCCCGTAGGGAGATCTGTCAAATAAATAATCCACGAAAAGCGCGGCGCGTATGCGTGTGCGGCGGTATGTATGACGTCACATCCTCGAAAACACTATTATTATACCTCCAACCACCTCCGCCGGCGTATTAACATAGATTACGCCGCCGCGGCCCTCGAGCGGTGCTCGGTCCTCGCCATTAGGCGATTGTGCGGCTATTGTGGTTACCGCGGCGCGGCGGCGTACTCGCACACGTGGGACAAGGATTATATTTGCGCGAGCGCGTCCCATTGACGAGGAAAACACGGTGATCAGCGACGTGTGAAGCCGTCGTTGCGCGAGCATTATAATTTCGTGGGGCGAAAAACCCCTCGTCGACGCCGATCGCGAGAGTCGGAATGCCTCGAGACACGACTATCGGCGCGCTTTCCGCAACGCGTGGGAGTGGACGTCGTAAATTTTCCGCGCAAATTACTGAATCGCAAAAAGTACAACGCTTATAGATATTTCGTATCGCGCGATGTTCCTCCGACGTTTTTAATATACGCAAACACGATGTGTGTGGGTCGCTGATAACATCGCGGCCAACGCGGTGATCGGAAGAAAGAGACGATGATCGATCGGCGCGATGGACCTGCGTGTCGTGCGTTATTTATAAAATGGCAGAGAAGCCGTCGTACGATTAATTCTTGGGCGAGCATATCTCGGAGCGTTTGGCTAAATGAAAAAAAATGACGTGCAATGTGTACAAGCATATTAAGAAGTAGATTCGATCCCAATATGTTGGGGATTAGGCCAAAGAAAGTGAGAAATAAATTATAAATTATATACGAAAAGCATGCGCGCGGGCATACAATTTTTCTTCTTTCTCATTACAGCATTTCTTTTTCTTTTTACACACACAAATAAATAAATTCGAATATAATTCTACGTCAATCCGGAACAATAAAAATATTTTTTTACGGTTAATTTTTTTATTAAAAATATTTTTTCTTGTTTATATTTTTATGACGCAACAATTTATATTTATAAATGTATAAATATTTTTATAATGCGCAATTTTTGAAATGTATCAAGTACCAAAGAGATGAACGCGTGGTTCGGGATCAAATTCACTCGACCGATTTGGAACTTGTCGTCGAAAGTGAGATCTGTTCTCCTCATGCTACTTTTAAGCTATTTATTCCACGGCTTAACTCGTTTGCGATTGCTCACCCGACGGCGAAATTCGAGACAGGTTTACAATTTAAGATGGATCAATTCGTATGCCCCGATGAATAATCTTCTCAGGGAAGAAACTTGAATTAAGAGGGCGAACCAGTGTCGAGGATAAGTAGATATATTCTTTTTATTTTGTGTATTGACAATTATGTAAAACGAATATATAGATTGCAATTATTGATTCACATGCTCATTCATGACGACATAATTGTTTCTCCTTTTTAAATATAGTTTTTTTTTGAAAATTAATATTAATATTTAATATTAATATTAATTTAATATTAATATTTTTTTTTATTTTGTATTTATACATATATTTCTTTTTATAATAAATCTAAAGCTAAAATAAAAATTATATATCTCTTTTACTTTACATATTTATAAATTCTATTTCATGAAAAAGTAGAGAGAGAGAGAGACATAGTGAAGAACTACAATCTTGTTCAAATTAAATACATAAAAGGAGAGTGGAATTCGCGAGAAACTCATTTTCTTGCTTCCTTCTTGAGACCATGGATGAATGGAAAGAGAGTGCTCTTGGTATTCCTTTTCTCTCTCTTCATTCCTACGGCTATGGACGACCCACGGAAAGAGAATGAGAGAACACGAAGGGGCTCTTTTTTGCGAGCGCGCTGCGTTCTGATCATGGAGGATTAGACAAAAGAGAATAGAGGAGGAGAGGAACCTCTAAAGGTTCTTTTCTTTCCTCGATTCGATTGCGACGAACAAAAGAATTCTCGGAACATTTTCCTTGTTGCACAGAAAATTGTTTATTAATTATTTATTACGTTTGTGTTTGAGACAAATGAGATATTTTTACACTCTTGAGAATAATTTCATTAACTGAAAGATATAGCATGGATGATATATTTTGACGTTTCAAAAAGCAATAAAATAAATTTAACAGAAAAATTCTTCGTAAAATATTACCTCTCACATTAAATCATTTTGCATCTTCATTGATAACAATGAAAGAAAATCATATTCGACGTCGAAAACGCGAGTGTGTGAATCATGTGGTGAGATCTCTTCAAGGTCTCTTTTTTCTCTCTCTCTCTTTACTACGTCTCGATCGTCGTCGAAACGCACAGTGACGCGTTTGAAGGTGCGAAGTGAAAGGGAACTTGAATTTTCGAAGATCGCTAAGAAAAGACACCTCTTAGCAGTCGCCGCTTGTCGAGAATGAGTCGGCCGATTCTTTTTCAATCTGTGTGTACCAACCGTGTTTTGACGAAAAATGGAAAGGCGAAGAAAAAACACAGGAGTGGCCGCGCGAGAAAGAATCTCATTCGAGCGGAATTTGGCAGGAGAGCGTACATGATAACACGCTTCGTAATAACGGGGCGAGCGCGAAAAATAAGCGTTCGCGAGAAGTGGTGCGATTTTCTCCCCCCCCCCCTCTCTTTGTCTCTTTTTTTTTTGCCACACGTCCAAGGTCTCCGCGCATGCATATCTCACGTCGATTAATTGCGGCTGATTTTTATTTATTGCAAAATCGCGCGCAAAGTGGCGCGCGCCGCGGTGTGCGCAGTTAATGGTTATTGGCTCGCGATATTCCACGCATGCGGCGGATTGTCGGCGAACGGAACGCGCGGTAATTCGCGCGTATCGCACATAAGCGCGCATGAGATATATCGCATAGAGCCTCTCCCGCGTCATAATAATAAATTCTACATAGCAACGTGACTTATCCCACACCGTTCGCGGCCAAGTGCGCGCAATAATTGTTAATTGTCAGCGCTGATACACGCGCCAGATAATACTCCGCTCCTCTGGCGCTATATACGTATATACTATCGTTCCCTCGATTCTTTTTGCAAGCATCGACGCTACCGTCCGCGTAAATAACCGAGATCATTGCCTAATGAGGAGAACAAGATTTCAACAAAAGAGATATTATCCGTCGTATTATCGAGAATTTATCGATATTTCGTGATCTTCGATACGTGGACATCGCTATCTTGCTGAATCGTTTATAATTAATTAATGCTTCTGGGAGAAACTCGATCAGTGCGATCGTTGCCCAACATCGAATAGATGTTTATCCAATCTTGATTGATTTAATTTGATCATATAATTATTTTCGATTATAAATTGAACGAATATCTGTAAATATTCAATCTGCGAGGAATGTTTAGTTTCTTTAGAATAAATTTACGTCACTCGTAAAAATTCGGAATTATTATTTTCGATCGCAGTGTCATAAATACGCACGCTAACGAACCACTGAATCTCTAAATTCGTTTGAGGAGGACTTTAACAAGCTTCGGAGCTGACATTTAGCTTATCCCCCCCCCTCCCATTTTTTCCTTCTGACCTTTGCCGCGTCTCTTCTCGAAGAGAAGTCTTCTCATTTTAATATATTATCACTTTGAATGGGCAAGAAAAGTAATGTTTATGTCCGGTTTGCGATCATGTCTTCAAGTGTCTTTTAATATCAACGCGAACATAATTTAATTAATTATTTTTGCCTATATTCACAACGCATCTAGCGATACGATATTAAACATAGGGGCTGTAACATACAGTTTTAGTCTCGTCCACAAATGCACACGGCGAGCCATTGTATGTAGCAATATCTTTGACATACTTCATGCACATATGGAGATACGTGTTAATGAAAAACACTAACGTCTATGTTGCCATCGACTGCTTTTCGTGTCCGCGTTGCGGTCGCATCCGTTGTGCAGATAGACAAACCGCAAGACGCATTGTGAGTCAATAATCGGGGAGAGGATGAATTACAACCTGTCGCGCATCTCTCGAATATACCATCAGATGACTGTTATACAGTCAGGATGGTCTTAATTATATTTGAAATATGCCTACGTAGAATTTACGATATAAACATCTAATACATGCGAACGATGACGTTGCAATTATTAAATTTTTGAACCCTAATAAAGATACATACGCGATATAATACGAAAATGATTTTCTTTTCGCACTAAATATTGTCACATACATGCGATTCTACTTTTCATTAGGGAAGAAGAGCATTTCAATTTTGAATTATTCCTTAATTCAATTAATAGCTTGAGATAGATGTTAGCATCGTACGAATAAATGTCTAGTGATTTCACAGAATCTCCCTAGAAATATACTTTTCGATTTTCATAGAAGCAGCCATACCGAATAAAGATATGATTGCTTGAATTTACAAAAAAGGAATTATTTGTGCATGATAGAGATTGCAAATTGGCAAGTGGAAAGGAGGAAAAATTGAAGAAACTCACCCGACACGAAGTGAAGCTGTGGCAGCGGCGGCGGCGGCAGTGAGTGTCAGTTGTTGCGCGGCCGCAGCCGCACCGGCGACGGCCGGATCGGCGGCGACGAGCTCCGAAAGCACGAGCACCGTCGTCGTGGGGGTCGCGCCATTCGATACGGATGTGCTCACGGTGTGCCGTACCGTCGGCGGTAGACTGTCCTCGTGTTGCAGTTGCAGCTGCGGATAGTGCAATTGCAGAGCTGTCGCGGCAGCGGCTGTGGCCGAGACGGCGGATCTCGGGGTGACGCAGGCCGACGGCGGAGACGGCGACGGAGGCGATGGTCGCGGCGGCGGATACTTGACCACCTGTACCTCGTGCTCGTTCTCGTAAATGATTTCTTTGTCATGGGTGTACATGACCGTCTTCTGGCCGTCGTTGTAAATCAGACCGGCCGCTGTCTCGGTCACGGGAGTCACCCGGCCATCCGAGTCGTCCGTCGTCGCGTTCCGCTGCTGCACATCGTCCGAATCGTTACCCTGAATGTGCTGCTGCTGTTGCTGCTGATGATGGTGGTGGTGATGGTGGTAGTGACTATGATGGTGATGGTGATGGTACTTGGGGTGGAGAGTGTGCACAGCCGATGGTTCGTGTAGATCGAGCACATTCACTGGCTGCATGGTCGTCAGCAAGACCTGCTGCTCGCTCTCGTTTTGATTTGGGTTGCTCAGAGAGGAGGACGCCGGCGAGACTGGCGCCTCCTGCACCTGTAATATTAGGTAGTTAGGGTCATTGTCGCAGAGTACATTGCATGATTCTAAAATTATTATTATCGGACGGAGAATTTAACGAATTGATCATGAATGTTGATTAATGCAAATGATTTTTTCTAGTTTGATTTCGCTGTCATATTAGATATATTTATTAACGATATTTTTTATTATATTGAATTAATATGAAAGAAAAAATAATGCAATGCGATTGTGAAATCGCACTCTGTAACCGCATAAAAGTATAGTAGTCGCATTACATCGAGTAATAATGATAAGCCTTGATCTTTATGCAATACCAATCGTTCCTTTTTCCTCTTTCTCGCTTTGCGAGGGAGTTTGATTTTTCTCTTTTTTTTCTAAAAATTCTTTGCATTTGTTGTTGGTCGCCGATTGTGCATATAAGTAGGATTAAATCATTTACAATGATAACGGAGCTTAAACACACTACACACAGTCGGTGCTAATTTATTAATCGCATTAACAGTGCAGTTTACGACATTAGGATTTATATACCCGAGTGCTCTCTCGTCCCGGATAAAGCCGTTTCCATGTGTACATGCGTGAATGTGCATTGCAACAACCTATAACATTTTCGAATGCTAATAATATCGCGATAGAAATTATATTAATATCTTGACGCGGCGCGCACACAGTACGAGATCTCTGTTTCGTACCGTCAGCCATCCCCTCGTCATAATTAATCGCCCGTTGCTTGTAACACGCGCGCCGAGAAATTCTTGCAGTATATTCAAAGATGAAATGATTATAAGCACGATCTAGGTACGTTTCACTCGCTTGGGACTCTCCACGTGCTAAGCCACACTGCGCTTTCTTCGCCGCAAGATTCAGGAAGAGTCAACTTAATGCGCTTTATACCTTTCATTTCTGAAAAGCTGACGAGCCATACTTGCACGTCGTTATCTAATCGATGTCCAACACGTCACACATTGCCGCAATATATCGTTCCCCGAAAATCGATGCGCGCGTTTTATTGAACTGTTCACCGAATGATAGTCGCATGACACGCAACCGCGAGATTAAATGCACCGATGAATGAGAAGTTAAATAATGTCCTTGGATAATTTTTTTTTCCTCTTGAATAAAATTATTCTCACCACATGTTTTTAAATTTCATGAATATCAGATAAAACTCAAATTTTGTCGAAAGTTATTCTCTTATACGCGATCAACAACGAATAAAATTGCAAAAGTTATTCATGAATTTCAGAATCTTCGCTAAAAAAAGTTTAGTGGTTGAATAATAAAGAGAAGCCTCATTGGGATTTCGCTAAAATTTCTACTTCCACTTAGAGATTATACTGCTCATAAAACAGATATTCTAAATAAGTAGTATATAGTTAATGGTCAATTCTTTTTCTGTGACGACGGTCACTTTACTGATGCACCTAATTCCCGAAGTTAGCCTGCGCGAAAACCCCTTCGACCCGTATGAATAAGGACCTGTACGGTACAATAACGACGTCGTTTGGAATTTCCCACGTGTCGCCGGATTATCATGCTTTCTAGCCAGTAACATAAGTTACGGCGCTCGAAGAGTATTTCTCTCTTTCTCTCTCTCTTTTTTTCCTAAGGAAACCTCCGAGACCTCGAGAGCTGCCCGATGCCACACAGTCACCGCGGCATCATTCGTAACGTGACAGCGAGCGACGTGGCAGCGCTATTAAGGCTCGTGCATATTGCAGCAGTCTACAGCCGCAGCGATAGGTTCCGTCAATTAACATAATTAACTATATTATGAATCACCCTCTTAATGTCTAGACATCTTTCGCGCGCGCAAAGATACGCGTGAATTACGCGCGCCGTTAGCCTAAGCGCAAAATTCTTTTCTCTCTCTCTTCTTTTTCTTCGAAAAATATCTTTTCCTCCCTTTACTCATTTCCTTGCGGTAAGCGCGAGACTTAATCCCAAGTGTCACCGGTTCCTATATTTCCTCGCGTTGACCGTCGTAAATCCAGACGCCGATGAATAATCGCGACCCTACGATTAAACCGCGAGGATTAGCGCGATGAAATACGATCGGTAACTATGAGTAAAATCATTAATGGACGAATGCGAGCCTCTGAATAGACTACACGTGTCTCCATGAGTCAAGGTAACAATGTTTATCTCGCGATTATAGTTTTCTGATGTTCAGACCTGACAAACTTATTATTAACAACGTCGTAATTTCACACCTTTTGTCGAACAATTTTTTTGAGTGTAGAATCGCTATTATATTTTGAAGACTTTTCATTGCGTGCTTGTTATCCCTTTTTTACATGTGTGTACGTAATTTTAAATTAAACATGTCATGTTAACGTTAATTCTAATTACATATGATTACGTGTATTATATAATAGACATATATCTTGATTCAGCACAAAATCGATACGTGCGAATTATTCTAAACGTAAATAACTAATGAATAAATTAGGTATAGTTTTTCGTAATTTATTTTAATCACATTAATAATCTGAAATTTTATTTTTATCATGCGATATTTAATGTATATATTGCTACGAGTTTACTCTCGAGATTCCGATGTAACTTAGAATCGTGCAGAAATAGACGCACGCATTATAAGTAAATTTCATCATTATATTTTAGTGGCAATAAATTTTTTACAGGCCTTAAACGCGACGTTCATAGACACCAAGCATTGTATCTCGAGTGTCTAATGGACAAAACGGTCTTGGCATAACGGTAATGTCGCGCGGACAATAAAAATAGTCATGCCACCGCGAGCATTGCGGTTTTGCGAATTTAGACTCTTTCGACGCATTTCACCGTAATTCCCCGATGTACTTAAAGATCTCCGCAAATTTATTTTCTGAATGATAATCGTCCGAGGAGCTACCGGGAAGAGCTATTTTTGACATCGCGCCGCCATTCGTTGCGATATGCTCGATCGGCGGTGTCAGGGGTCTCAGATACTCCGGCTAAGGATATTAATCAACTCGAGTCGCGACCGTGACACAAACCTCCCGCGGTCGTTACACGACGTTAAGTACTCCGCGATGCGAATACTCGATCGTGTACCGACTTCATCCGGAATCTAATCCCATGTCAGTCGCGTTGAAATTTATCATACCGATATAAAGTCGCCGATATATCGATCGTTCTACGGTGATCCACTGCAATCGCGCGCGAATTTATTAGTTTTTATTGCATTTCGCGTACGGAAAAGACCGACAACAGGCAAAAATATATACATATAGCGGTAGGCATTGAACGTAGAAATATATTTTTTTATAATTTTGCTATTATTCCGTTCAGCTCTCTATTAGTGCCGCATTTATCTTGACGTTTATTCTATTATTAGAAGAGACTATTATTGGTTTCTTCTTTAGTTTCTTGTAATATGCAGATTAAAGCAACCTATCATGTAAAAACGGTTTATTTATTACCTTGATACTTGAGAAAATTAATCCCTCATTTATTGAATTTATTGAACTTGCTACAATAAAAGTAAAATTTATTTGCGTGACATTTCTCATGGGATACCTCTTTTAAGATAGCAAAAGTTTTTCGCCGAAATGTGAATGATATTTCATCTATCATCCAAATAATAGACAACCATCATCTAATCGCGGAAAAACTTGTCGAACGAACGTTCGCGATTTCGCGAGCTCGCGAAATGATTACCGCGAATCTTACGGCTCGCGGTGCTTGATTCAGAATGCTGCTCGCTCTGTTTACACGCAAGAAATGCTTCATAATAACAGTTAATTGGCCGGTCGGACTGCGTTCGTGAAAGCCCGCGACGGACGGTAGTCCAGACATGTCTGCCGGTCGAATGGCCCGTCCGTCCGCGGCTAAAACTCGACGGTTACTCGAACGACGGTCTCCCTCGTTTCTTACCCGTTCGCTGCCGTAAACCGCGAATCACGCGCAAACATCGCGGACGTTTGCAACGTGCAGTTATTGCCGATTGCATTGCACGCAGCTGCAACGTAGATACGTGGAATCGTTAGATACTTTTCTTTCGTGGTACGTTCCTGGCTCCGTACGTGTCTCGGGATACGATTCTCATTCATCCCGCAATGGTCGGAGCATTTTTGCGATTTACTTTTTTTGTAATCGTAAACATTATTGCTCGTTTTATCACCTCTGGTTGCTCTAGTGAAGAAAATATTAGCTTTGGCTCTCTAGAAATAACGTGTTTCGAAAAAAGCTGTTTAATTGCTTTCGAAGAAAATACAGTAGTTTAAGTTTTTATTTTGCAGAATATTTGCGGAAGAAATCATATACGTTATTGATAAAGCTTTAATCATAAAGTTTTGTATTATAAAATAAAAAATAAATGTATTTTTTTAAAATAATATTCTGCTGTATCCTTTTACCATATATGATATTTATAATATATTTTTTGTTTATATCAGCATAGTGTCAAAAATGATAAAATTTAATAAATTTAACTACTTTCTTTAAAAATAAAAATAAACATGAATCTCGGAATTTTATGAATTGCAATGTAGAGTACGTGTATAGAGAGAATGTTATTTTTACATTATCATACATCTAGAAAGAGCTCTTCATGAAACAACTCTTTTTTAATTATTTTACTGTTAATGTTTTCAGTTGTAACAGCATTAGTCTTAAATGTGTTGATTGTGACAAAAATGACGATCGCAATTATGATGAAATCTTTCTTGCGTTATTGTTCATTGAATGCAGGATATTTTAATCGTAATCATTAATAATATGATGATGCAGCACGAATAATATTACTCTACGTAACCTCATTTTCCAATGTTTAACATAATCAAATATTAAATATTTCATAAGTTACGAGGTACGCATACCATCGTTTATTTAATTAACGTCGTCGCTGATTATCGCTTATCATCGTTAGTCATCAAGCGCTCTCCTTTTTACCGCGACTTGTCTCGCAAGTAAAATATTTCGGCGTTCATTTCGTCGATGCGCGCGCGTTTATTTTCGATACACTTTTTTTTCATACGCTTTCAATCTCGTTTTTGCGATCGGTATGAGTCATTCGAATCGAGAAAAGACGCGCGTTCACGAATTACGGGGAGATTCTCTTTCTTTTTCTTTTTGCCGTTGCCGCCCAATAACGAATCGGTTAACGAAAAAGTTAATGAAGATACAAAATAACCAGTCGCTCGGAATTCTATTAAAGAGCCTTTATTTCTTATCTCCATAATGAACGGCGCGATCATCGTCGAAGGTTCCCTTCGTTTAACCGTCAGTTTATATGAGAAATCTGAAAAGTCATCGCCGCGGATCTCTTCCTTCGTCCTATCCAGTTTTGTCCGTAGTTATGTAGATAGATATACAAGACGAACGAATGACTAACATACCGTTCGTTTAATGCAAACGAAAGAATGCCGAGGTTTAATAAGGGGACATTGGCACATACGTGTCCACGACGACGGGAAAGCTTAGATCGTCCACGTTTCGACGAAGCGCGATGGGTAGGATATTCTCTTGCGATCTGGAAGCGCGATAATATTTACACGGCTACTTGAGCACCCGGTATGCTTGCATGCTTGCGATGCTTATCGTAAGTGTACGGATTTAACCACTTATTAAAGGCGCCAGATGCAGGTGTGAAATGTATCGTCCTTACTTTCGACTTTTCTCAAGATTTATATGCGCTCATTCACCGACGATAATTAGGAATAGCAAATTATTTTTTATTAGTCTTTACATATGCGTTTATCGATATCTTGGATCTTTATACGCTTGTTTCATTTTATCTCGTAAAAGAATTTCTTGTAAAAGAATTTCTTCAAATTTTTTTACGCTGCCATTTTCAGAATATCGAATGCACATAATAAATTAATGCGTAATTATTTTTTCCAACTATATAATTATGATTACGCATTATTGTCCGGGAAAAAAACAAGGGAATAGCTTGCTTAATGAATTTTTTAAGCTTACATGTTCCATCAACTATTTGATTCTAATGCATATATTTTTTTTATTACTAGATAAAACAGACAATCGAAAAATTTGAAAATTCTATAGCTTTAAAGTATTTAATTCATACGTACAGTCAAATTTACTGTAGAGTCAATAGACTGAAACTACAATGAGTTCACGGTTTTTAATCATAACTGTTCGAACTATATATTAAAATTTTATCGAACGGCTTATGTATCATTAATCGAGTTTCTCATCGTAGGATGCCGTAACGCGAACATAACGGGCCAAAGCGTTTCACTTTTGTATACGACGCGCGATTGGAAAACAATTCTTTAAAATAAAATAAAAAAATCTGAAATTATGTAACGATTTTACAAATTAAATTTTCACAAATGTAAAAATTATGACGAATGGTGTCATAAAAATGATTGTTCAATAAATCTGATCAAATTAAGTAATTAGAATTATGTAAAATTCCTTCATCACAAACGATAATTTTTTAATTATGAACGCGTGTTCGATTAAAGTTATCAAAAAATTGATTTTTTAAATTAATTTTTAAATTATAATTAAGATTCATAAAAAAATTTACTCAGAAAAGACATCAGAACGTAATTGTAAATTAATAAAATAATGAAAAAATTAATGAATAAAAAATCATAAATTAATAAAAAAAATTTTATATGATATATTATATAATTTTTCTGATATATTAGTTATGAGAAAAATAAATATAAAGACAAATAATTTCTTTGTGCAAATTTGCTATGCTCGTATTCCTAAAACCGTTTTGTAGGATCCTCTATACAATTTATTCTTTTCTTAGTATAATTTATTCTTTTCTAATTCTTTACGGTTTGTGGCGTGTATCACTTTCAGAATATTCAACTTGCTTTTCTAAAATTGTACTTTCAATGATCCTTTTTTTGTTATTTACCAAATAAATTATGATTAATCAATTAAAATCACATAGTTTGAGGGTTGAAAAGAAAAACTTTGAAAAACTTCCTAGTGAGTCGACTACAATAATTCTGCAGTTCATAAGTCTCGGTTTACCTTCGCAACGGGTGGTATTGTTGAGAGACATAACGAAAAGAGAAACTAAAAGAAAAAAAAACACGGTCAGAAAGAGGGAAGAAAGAAAGAGAAAATGCATAGAAGAATGCATTACACTCACGAAAATGCAGTCTGATAATAAAATATAGATAATTATGTCATGTATTATATTGAAGTACTATAAAAAGATCATATATAGAATTATAATACTCAAATATAGTTGAATTTTTAATTTTAGAAAAATTTCCAATTAGAATATTTTTTAATCTTAATGATCCGCGCATTGAATAAAATATCAGTTAATAATTAATATTTTACATTATTGAATAAAGCATCAGTTAATGATTAATATTTTACATAAATGTTATAATACCTGAAATTGTATTTATTAAATTATCGGAGATTTTTAGACTTTTGTTGATTAAATTTTTGTTGATTATTGTATATTATTGTATTACATAATTATGAGAAAGAGAGAGAAATGAGATTCTGATCTGATTCTCTAATTTGTTTTTTATATTGAGCCTATATTAGATGCAAGTATAGTTCTTACATCAGACAAATCTATTCAATAATAAATGCACGCTGCAAATACGCTTCGTTAAATCTTATTATTTGACATTATTTGAAACTGACCGGAGATAGAGCCTCCTGCATATGCAGGGGTGTGTCGCCCTCGTCGGTACACGTTGACATTCTCCGGCGTTGTCTTCCAGTTCTCTTCTTTTCGTTGTACCGTAATATTCGTTTAATACACCAGATCGTCTGTTTTTCCCTCCGACAGTTGCAGTCGTTTCTGTTTCAGCTTCTAGATGTAACGATTGAAAACCTTTCAGTCTGTTCTAGTCTTCGATTATGCGTCTATGTCTACGCGAATGTATAATTTTAGGCATCGGATTATCGTATCACAGGTTGCTGAGGCTTGTATGGCACGTGTATACTCGAAGAAAAAAAGCGGGCGGTAAAGACCTGCAAGAAGCAAACGAGAGAAAAGGTTTAAAGTACGGCACATCATGTACAGAGATATCGATATTATTTTATTAATGATTCGAATAAGTAAATTTTCGTCGTTCAACTATTTATCTCAAATAATAAAGTACGCGCGCGCATTTAATGCGCGAGTTCAATGCATGCGAAAGTAGTAACACGCGTAAAGAGGAGGGCAAGGTGATCGAGAGTGAAGACGGAAGAAGCGACTTGTTCCTCCCGCGCGCGTTAAGAACAAGCTCATCGGTGGGAACGAGACGAACCGGCTGTCGGTTTGGTAACGACTTCGGGACGAAATGGGCAGGTAGGAATAATCCTACGTTTTCCGTGTAGCAGGTAGGTGCCGATCCGGAATCGGAGAATCCACGTCGGACACTCTGCACGTGGCTCGCGAGAGGAAGAGAAGTTTCGCACGCGTGACACGCGTAATCTTGCGCGAACACGGGAAACCGGAACCCGAGCGCGTGTGCGCGAGCAGGTTCGGCGTTTATCGCCGGGCGAGGATTCGCGCGGATGTCGGTCAACCAGTCTGACACCGCGAATTCTACGTCTTCGCAATCCATGCGGTCTCTTTCATCCAGGTGGATATTAGTAAAACCAGTCTCTCTTCGGTTCGCTCTTCTCCTCGCCTGCCCATCTGCTTTTACTACGGTGGAGTACGCGCGGGCGCGTGGAGGAGGGCGCGCGCGTAAAACTGGAATTCAGCTCGCGGGCACTGTTCTGACGGATAGACAGGTATAATAATAGACGTAACGAGGAAGCCGGACCATCGAGAGTGAGCACACAGAACGATGCTGGTTCTCACTCTCTTTTTGTCCGTCTCTCTCTTTCACGTTTCATTTCTCGAGCCGCGCCGTCAATAACGGAGACGCGGTGATGCTCGCGAGGAAGTAACAAGACTGGTTGTTAGAAAGAAAGAGAGAGAGACAGAGGGGAGAGAACACAGAGAGATGCCGAAGAGGGTGGCGGCGGGAAGTAGATAGGTAGGTACCTACCTACTACGCGGAAGAAGGAGATTGGGGCGACCGGGGAGAAGGAGTAGGTACGCACACGAGGCCGGTATACAACCGCGAACCGGAGACGAGAAGCCAGAGGAGCAGGTTCGGCCGGTCTAACCTGATTCTCAAAGGGAACCCTGCATCAGATTGGACCCACCTCCGTGGGTCCGTTTGTATTTCAAGTACCTGTACGCCCTCGCCTCGCGTCAGTGAACGATGCCTCCGGAGACGGTGGACTCCGTCGAGTTCGTACAAAGAGGAAGCGAGGCGTCTCCTCGATTGACGGATCGCGCGACGGCGATGTGCCTTTGTCGGCGTTGAACGCCTCGGTCGTGCGTTGCACCTGCCGCTGATAGATTCAACAAACTGCCGTTTGTCGCGGCGGTGTGCATCGCGGTTGCAGTCTCAGATACAGCTGCGCAGACTGCCGTTAGTGCAACGAGAGTGAATTTCTAGAGATTTAGTGAGAGTTTCAGTTGATTCCCTTGGAGAACGCGCCGATCCGTAAATGGAATTTTAAAATTATGCGCGAAAACATTCTGTGTATCCGAGTACGGATTCTTCTCGTCTCCGGGGACGGCCTTTTTCGTGTCTGTCAACTTTTCTTTTATTTTTCCATTGGAAATTTTATTATCGATTTTGATGAATAACCGCTTGGGATTAGTTTTAAAAAGAAACTTTAAAGTTGCTGGCTGCTGAGTTTTAAGAAAATTTTATGGAATTTTCGAAATTCGAGATAATTTTTAATTAAGTAGAAACATTAACACGCATGCGTTTCTGGGGAATGAAAAAAACAGAATCGAAGATTTACGGGAATATTTGAGAATGTTTTTGAAACGTTCACCGATATTCCATATGCATTCAATATAATGGAAAATTAATATCTCATAAAAATATTAATTTTTCAATTTAACTATTGTATATATTTACGAGATGTTGAACATGCATGTAATTTGGCGAAAGAAGTAATTATACGTATTGTTTATATTCTAAAATTAATACATAACGCGGATTTATATTATCATAAAAAATATCTAATCCAATAACGATCTCTGTTTACAAACAGTCCAATATTGCATCATATTATAATAATTCTGTGAAAATATACGTACATATGTACGTGCATGTACATACATCGTCTTACATCTCCTCGCGTGAAAAGATTTACTCTATTATGCCACACAATTTTTACTATTTCTTTAATATAACGATAGTATACGTGTGTATCACGATACTAAAAAAAGCAACTATATACTAAAACCGATTGCAAAAGAATGAAAAAAGCAGATATAAGACGTCTTGCCAACTGAAAATCATGCATTGAACGGTCATGGTCCCGCGTCTCACTTGTTCACCGGTAGGTTACCTGCGCATCACCTGTACGTCATCGCGTAGGTAGCCTCCGGCTATTAATGAAAATGCGAGAAAAGAAGGAGCGCGATATAATAATACCGAGAGGATTAGACAAGAATATAAAGATAAATACTCACTCGTTGGTATCGCATTAGAAGAAGGGGAGGGGGGAAGAAGTGTTGCGCGATACAACAGCCGGTGCATTCGTAAGAAGCCGCTGGTCCGATGGTCGCTTTACCGGTGAAGTGGATTATCGCGCGCGCATGTGCGCGGGGGGAGGTGAGAGAGGGAGAGTAGGTGACAGAGGTCGCGAGGGGAACGATAGGGTAATAGAGGGGGGGGGAGGGATGGGGACCAACTACAAACTACTGAGCGTCCCTCCTGTGTGCTGGATTACATCTCAATGAATGATAGTCACCATCTTCGTCGTAAACCGAAACGTATGATCTCTCGGCGAATATCCGCTAATATCGAAGTCACTCTCCTCTCGAGGGCACCCTTCTTCGAAGGCCCGCGCTTCTTTCGTCGTCACTTCTTAGTTTTCGCTCTCGTTCCTCACCGGTGAAGAATTTATGGCACCGTGAGATCTTGGATTTTTCTATCTAACGCGTCGTCTATTCACTTCATATCACACTCGCGATTTACATATTGTTGACGTAGACATTTCACGAGTCTCGAACATTGCTATTGATCACTATGTTTCGTTTTATGCGTCCACTCGATTGTACTCGGTTGTATTCACTTGTTCCTGGGTCTTATTAAACTGGTTCCGAATATCTTGTTCCGAATCGTACAATCGCGCACCGGCTTCAGTCACACACTTGTTCACGGCGACGACAACGATGATTTACCGTCGCATACAATCACTAGAAGATTTTACCAATCGATCATTCAACGGGATCTTCAAGTTTAACGCGCTGAAAGAAATGTACTGTTTTGAAAATGTGCACTTTGTATCTGAGAAAAGAATGTAAAATACGGGAGTAAAATTTAAACCGCCGAAAGTTTCAGTCGCGCCGCTGCAAGCAACAAACGAAGCAGCCTCTCGAATCGTTCTCTCTTCTCTCGGGAGACGGCAACATGGCCGCCTACCTCCTCTGCCTCTCAGCATCCCGCTCTTGGCTCCAAGCCTCAGATTCCCCCCTCCGTTCCACTCGTGTTCCACACACGCTTGTGCACAGTATTTCCCTCCTCCTGCCTCTCTTTCTCTCTCCTTCTCCCTCCTACTTGTTCCCCTTCGCGTTTTTTTTCTCTCCGGTCCCTCACACAGTCAGCTTCCTTCACTTTTAAGCGGCTCTCTTAGGCTTCTCTTAGGTTTCTCTTTTCGTCTCGTTCTTCCTCCTTTACCTGCGTACCCTATAACGCCTCCCTTTCGACTCTTCCTTCGACGGCTCTTTTTATCTCTCTTTCTCTCGCAGTATAGCAATATAATCTAACATCATGGTCCACCATATCCCTCCTGGTATCCTCCTACTCTTAATCGAGAAGGAGAGAAAGATATCCCGATTTGTGATGTATCAGAGAGAGTGGTGAGGGCCCTTGGGCTTCTCCGAGTCGTCGTCTCTCTCTCTCTTTCTCTCTCTCTCTCTCTCTTCCTCCAGATGTTCTCTCGCTCATTTGCTCTCGAGCGGTACGATGAGATCGAAAGAGACGCACAGACATATCGCGGGCGGTGGTAGGAGACGACAGGAGGGAAGGGGAAGGCTGGTACGCAGGTAGCCAACGCGAAACAAGGACGGGCTTACGGATCTTGTGGACGAGCGGGACCAGAACAGACCCATCGTCTCCACAGCGAGCCGTACGGATACAAACAGAGCATCAAGTAATCGACGAGGCAGCGGCCGGCATCGTGGCCACCCGACATTATCGTATCTCTGCAGTTGTCTCTCTTCGACGCGCCGCTTCTTCATCTCTCTCGCTCGGTCTAGTCGTTTCTCGAGAAAGATATTCGATGAGAGTGCCACGAGAAGAACGAAGGCGATCGCGTTATACGCACGCGTGCATTATATCGCGGTCCTCCGTCCTCTTCACCGTCTCTGATTCCATCTTTCTTTCTTTCTCTTTCCCATTCTCTTTCTCTTTTTTGGTTCCACCTTCGAATCGCGTCCTACTCCACCTTGCTACCTTGAGAAGGATACACGTGATCGAAGAATATAAGCGAAACGAAGACGGCCGCGCAGACATACGTTATCGAGGGTATCCTTTTCTTACTCTGGATTTCATCCTCTCGTGACTCCGTCCCGCTCTAGTCTTCGCTACCTTGAGAAGGGTATCCGCGGGGAGAACCGCGAGAGGAACGAGAAGGAGGACACGCACACATATGGATTATCATATCTGAGTCTTGTGTATTTCTCCGCCTTTACCTTTTCTCCTCCAATCCCTCTCGCTTCAATTTTATAACGCTCGCTCTTTATCTTGCCACCTTGAGAAGGATATCCACATACCAAATCGTATATCCGAGAGATATCTAATAGAGGGACGTAAAGTCATCTCATTGAATACGCCGAAAGATGGCAGATACCTCATCGGGTAGAATGACATATCTAGATATGTCGACCTATTATAAATTTTTGTTTTGTTCTGCAATAATTTTTTTACCTGCTTTAATAAGGAGGCTTTCGTGTCTATTCGCCTCGGATAATCGAGGTATCTTCCCGAGTCATCGCGAGACAGACGCGCGCACGCAGACCCTCTCCTCATCTCTCTGGCCGAAGGAACGCGGTGAACGTAATGGAAGGGAAGAAAGAGAGAGAGAGAAAGAGAGAGAGAGAGAGAGAAAGAGAGAGCTTCTTGTTTATGTAGAAGCGAGGTCTATCGTCTCGTCTTCCTCCTTTCTTTTCATCGTCATTGTGAAAAGGATATCCGCGAGAGAGATTCGCTCACGATAGAATGAAAAAAAGGTGTACACACGTATATATATCGTATATGCACGTATATATATGTACATCCGATTGATTCCCTCTTATATACGTGGAGCACGCGAGAAGAGACGTTTACGCTGGACGCCGAAGAGAGCGAAGCTGCTGCCGGTGCTGCTGGCGGAGCCGCGTCGCTACGAACGAAGATGGACTCGGGATCGAAAGAGCGAGAGATTCGAGAGGGGGAGTCGGGGGATGGTAGCAAGGCGAAGAGGAGGGCGTGTGCGTGAGTTTACGACGAGAGAAAGAGAGAGTACGAGAGGAGTGGATGTGCGACGAGGAGGACGGGCGTTGGTACGCGTACGAAGGGAGATTAAAAGGAGAAAAAGAAGATGGAATTAAAAGAGGAAAAAAAGGGGAGTCGAGCAACAAGAGGCAAGGAGAGAAAGAGGAAGAGGGAAAAATGAGGGTATAGAAAGAGAAAGAGAGAGAGAGAGAGAGATCATGTGAAAAATGGGCACCCAGCGTGAGAGGACAGCCTCGGGCTACGTCGCGCGATGCGACCCTGTTCAGGGAGGGATTCGTTCTTCGTTTGTAAACTTCGAAACGCGTACGTAGATTCGGCCGAATCGACGTGAAATCCGTGAACCGAGAGTTTTCCTCGGATGAGAGTATTTTCGAAAAAAACGAGTCCAGGATCGATTTAGATTTTTATTCGAACACGTCGAACCTTTTTCTCGGAGATAACTGAACGCGCGATGTTCCCGCGAGTAAAGATAATTCGTATTCGCGTTTCTTTCCGTGGGAATCACACGCTTATACGCCGCGTGGGTGGTTATGCGCGCTTTTTGCGTGGGCGAATTGAAAGGCAGATGAGAAGAGGAGGAAACAACAGTTTTCGAGAGGAGTGAGATCTTACCCTGTCCCGCACGCATTTGAGATACTTTTTTTTCAGCCTTTTCCTAGATTTTTTAGCTCTATCGTTCCTTTTGTTTATGATGCATTGTATAACGAATTAAGTGCATGTGTATGATGTGTGATGGCAAATACGATGGAGCCCCGATTTATGAATCATCTAACATCTTTCGATTGAAGAATCGTGAACTCGATTGGCCCCGAACAAGCGCGCGTTACGCGCGGCTTTCTAATGTCTTCGTGAAAGCAGATCGAAGTCCGATTCTTGTCGAGAATTCTTCTCTACCCGTCGTATCTGTCGACGCGCTCTCGCATAGTCGTAATGTCGCCTTCCGCGCCCACCTTCCGGCCGTATGTCTCTCACGCCGACGGGATAAACGCGCATATCGGGTACTTATGCAGATCGTAGAGTGTGTCGGTAAGCGTGCGAAGAAGTGTCTATAATTCAACCGCATCGATAAAGTTCACTTTTAGAGCGACGGCATGCAGAGTGTTTCGACACTCTTAGATTACTACGCTTTGACCTATTACGTAACATGTTGCGTAAAATCTTTGTTCTTGCAAACAACACTTTTCTCGGAAAATATCGGAAAATTATTAATTTCATCAAGTCGTTTTAAAGTAAATTTTTAAGAAAATTCTGGAACATAAGAGAAGAGAAAGAGACAACGGTCATATATAATTGTGGTTTTAAAAAGATTGTAATCGATCATGTAATAAATATACAAGATTTTGTTTAAGAAAATTAATAATTATACTGGCAAATGTCATATGCATGATTTTTTTCGTAAAGAGACGAGATTTTTAGAAAATTTTGAATTGCATGTGAGATTATTTTCTTCATATAAGATTTTGTATATTAGAATAAAATTGCGATTTGGAATTCGAGAAGAGATTAAAATTGCGCACGTCTAGGAACGCATCATGTATTCGTTTCAGTAGAAACATCCACGAACGATTCTGTCGTAGGTCGTGTCGTCCGTAATGATGTGCATCTCTCTGATTATCTGCTGACAAGTTATTATCATTAAAATACCGCGTTCTCGTCAGTAAAACATTCATTCGTAATGGAAGGGATGGAAAAAACGAAATTCATGTTCGGTTCATCTTATCGTAACTATGCATTCTCATCCCCTCAACGAATGAAACAAGAACCCCGGATTCTTCGGTCACTTCGTCTTTGTATTTCTCAAGAGGCTTCCCAATAATCATTTCTCGTATAACAATGAAATGGAATAGCTTTAAGAACTAATTTATAAAGAGAAATATTTATATGCAGTTTAAATAAATTTTAAGATGTTTCTGCACTCTATGTCTTTTTTGCAATAATAAAAATGATTTCTGTTAATTATATTGTATTATACGTTAAAAAATGCAATATTGTTGAATTAATTAAAGTCATAAATTAGACTCTAACTATGTGGCATTTCCTCTTATTACGGATTGCATCCTGACTAGAATAGACTGGAGCGACTTTCAAGTAACCCGATTCAAAGTAATCGAAGTCTCCGGACAAAATTCGGTATAACGCGACGTCTTGCGCGGGCGTTGAAGTCTCTCGGCGGCACCCGTAAGCGCGCATAATGGTTCTCAACCGGTTCATCGGGGATTCATTCAGAGAAACGTCAATGTTGCATCTATTCACGCACATATACCTATACCTGTACTTGTATATATATGTACATGTGCGCGCCTATAGATCGTCACTACCTGTTCGCCGGCAAAGACCGGTCAGCTCTTATACCGGTTGCGTATGTCTCTCTAAAGCAAACACCGACGTGTTTACGTCTGGATATAAAGATGCGACGAGGCACGCATACACACACACATGAACGAAAGAAGCTAATGTTTCGAGATTGATTCCTGATCACAATTGATTAGGATGATTTAACGCGTTTTTATATTATTTTGTCTTTTTATATATCTTCATTGCAATATTTTAAACATAGCGAGCAGCCTCTCTCTCGCTATGCATTTATGAAGCATTTAGGAAATCTTGTATCACGTGTTGCGTATTGACTGTGCGTGAAATTTCTTAAATATATCATTTTTAATTCGAGGTTACACTAAAGAAAATAATATGCGAAAATATGAAATATCTTAGCTATGTTTTACAATCGAAGTAGAATTTTCATTCACATCGAAAAAACGATAATTTGAATATCAGTCTGGTCGATTGAAAAAGTGCGTCCGGCTATCTAATTAAAGATCGATATAAAAAATTGAATCTGATTTATCTTGTCGATAATTATATTCTAGCGACCGGCTCGCAAATCGACGCGAACGCATTTCCCTTGCGCGCTCATATCGCGACGTAAAAGAATTCGAGAGATTGGCGGCAGGAAGCGCAGCAATGGCGCTCGTGATAACGGTATCAAAAGTGTTACGCATACGAGCATG